CATACGATCTTGAGGAGACCAAAGACTTCGGCACCCTTGGCTCCAATCGCAACCAGTCGCTGGAGGAGAGCTTGGGCGAATTCTACCCGGGTTTGTTGTATCCTCTCAAAGATCGCTTCCTGCGGGACGCCTCGGGTGTTGGCTTCCAGGCAACTTTGCACAACAACGGCCATCGACTTCTGAACCTCACGGTCCGCCATGAAGTCCGCACAGTGTTCGACGGCGAAGAATTTCCAACTATGAAGAAGGCTCTGCGCAATCCCAACAATTAGAATAGTTTCGTTTATTGATTCGGTCAGTACTTACCACTTGCGCCTCGACCAAAGACAGGTTCAGATTGGCCCGCTGGAATTCTTCGGCGAATCCCTGGTTGCGACTTCCAGTCCACGCGAAATCATAAGAAAGGAGCTTTTTGCCGAGTTGGATGTCGTAGTAATAGTCTTGGCCGAGGTAGCGAGACTGCAAAGGTGTCCGCTTGAAGTCTACGAGCTTGCACCCGGGATACCTCATCTCGAAATTCTTCTTCAGATTGGCATGCAGCGAGGCATTATAACCGGACACATCAACCGCATCCTTGGAATACCAAGACACGAGCGGAATTAAAGTCTTGTAAAAGCCTCGGTCCTGCATCTCCTTGGCTGAGTGCAGATACACGGCGCAGATATCTGCCACGACAGCTGCGATACGGGTAGCAGAGATCTGTTCCTTGATAGTCAGGGACGATATTTTCAGTTTCGAGACGTAATTCACCAGGCTGGTGAAGAAAAGGGAATGTTTCTTCAATTCTGGTGTTGCCCATGGCCAGTTTTCCTGAGCATGGGAGACAAATTCCAGCAGCGCGACAGCCAGTTGAAGGTCAAGCTGCTCAATATGAGACAGCATATCAAGTGCTATCTTCAGGAACGGGGTACCCCTCATTGCTGCTCCCTTGTCTGTGTCAGTTTTCCTCAGCGACTGGCGTGGTGAGGTGCCCGTAAGGATGTAGACGGCCAGCCACTGTTGGCGCTTGCTGACAAGAGTTGTTAGCAAGTGCCATATACTCAAGCGCAGGTTGGAATCGCTGAGCGGCTTGTCAAACTGTGAAAGGACGTCGAGGAAAAGACATGCGGATTCCGCTCCCAGGTGACCGACCAAGGACGGCGGCTCATTTGCCGGGTCCAAAGCTGCGCCTGTTATGAGAACATTGAGCAGTGAAGCCACCGGGAGCCGATAGGCATCATCCAAAGCATACAGTTTGATCAGAGCGGGTGTAGCCTTGAACAGTTGGTCCTCCAGCAAGGATAGTGGCTGTTCAAGGAGCTGAGCCGCCTGTAGCAGCCTGATCGAGAGGTCCAAGGTCGCTAACACCTGTCTTTGCACAAAAATCATGTAGCGGAGATACAGCGTCGACGGTGTCTGAAGGCCATCGACAATAAGGCGAAGGATGGAATTGAAGGGTAAATCCGCGGCCGACTGCGGCCGTAAGACACTGAGAAGATAGGTTGCTGACGAAGAAAAGACGCCCGTGATCTTGGTGTCCAGCTTGGTAATTTCGTTCGTACCATAAGCGTAGTAGAGTATCCTCTCAAACACTGTTGCGAGTTTCGTGCTAATTTCAAGCTTCTGTTCCGGCACATTGAACCTCCAATTGCCATTGCTGTTGTAAACTTCCACCATCACCCGTACAAAGTTCAGAAGAGTTCCTCTCAGCATATGCGAGGGAACGCCCGCGGTGAAATCGGAAGGAAGAATGGCCTTCCCATTGGGACCGTTGGGGCTCCTTCTTAACACGGCCCGAGAAGCAGCGTCGTCAACAACTGCTTGGAACAGACGAACACAGCCCAGCAAGAAGGGATAGTCTCCCGATGTCACTTCTGTAGCTGAGATAATCGCAGTCAGGATGCCACCCTTACCATCAGAGCCCAGCAAGCTGCTGCGGGAAAGTAGGGGCCACACTCTGCCTGGCAGAACGTCGATGAGGACGCAAATGAATCGCAGACAGGCAATTGTAGTCTCCATCACAATATCAGATCCTGTTCTGGGTCCGATGTTGGGTAGATTGCGCTCAAAAATCTCGAAAACAAGCGAGATAATGTCGCTTTGGCGGGATAGCCCATCGCTCGCGATTTCCAAGATTCTCTTAGCACTTGAGCCATCGCCGCTTTGCACTTGCGAGTCCTTTGCTGCAAAGAGAAGATCGGCCAAAAGACCTATCGAATCGGCCACGGAATTTTCTCCATAACCTGCTGAAAAGCCTCCATTTTCATTCCATTCCTCTAGCCAGCTGCCGAGATAGCTCAGGCAGGAATACTGATGGTGCCACATGACCACCGCAGGCCTTGACTCGGAGACGACCTGACCAATTGCTGAAGACGGTATCTGCGAAGAGCCCGTAACAACCAGGGCGTTACTGGTTTCCTGATCAGTAAGCTGCCTTCGGGGAGATGTGCCGACCATGGGAAGTGACTGAACAAGGGTGACGAAATTTGCGTTCTCATCCTCGCGAATCGTTTCGTAGCCTTGGAATCCGTGGGGTACGACCTGCGTAAAGGAATCCATGTTCTCCAACTCTCCAAGTATAACTGGAAGGCCTTCCTCATTCACCAGATCTTTGCTGACCAATGCACGGCACAGCTGCAGGAAAGGCACTGTTTCATAGGGGAAGCGAGAACGCGCTATGCGGAAAATGTTGTCCATCAGAGCATCATCCTTAACGAAAACCGAACGAGGGTCGCTGATGGGGTTTAACGGGGCACCGTGAAACCACTGCGATTCTACCGGTGAGCCCTGGAGAACTGCCAGAGTGGACCCAACGATCTCGGGGGAATAGTCTAGGTACACCACGGTGGTCCGGATGAAATCTAGAAGCACGAGCTGAATCCATTGGCTTGTTAGAATGTCAGTGACTGCTGAGGTAGCTCCAACTTTCGTAGCCAGAACAAGGACGGTTTCAAACACCATATCCTTCATTGCATCTGAGCTTAGAAGAGTTATCGCCTCATCCGCTGTGCAGGTCGGAGTACGTGCGTTCTCGAGCAACTCTTCATACAAAGTGATCTCCGAGGCTTTGGATGGATTCGAATGAGGTGTATTCGATTGGAAAGAATCCACTGCACTGTGGAATTGCTCCAACTCTCGGCTTTCTCTGTCGCTGAGTGCAAGCTCCCTCATAGTATGCATTATCAGTCCCCAGGAAAACGCAGCTGGATTAGCAATTTTAGATTCTACACCAGCTGTCAAGAAGAGCTCGTTTATCTGGCCAATCTCTTCCTTTGAGAGGTAGTAAGGTGCCTCAGCCGACGGGCCTTTGTGTGAGGAATTGTTGATGATCGATGGGACCGACAATGACAGCTTCAGAAAAGCTAGTGTTGTCAAAGAGACGAAGCCTTGAAGTGGGACCAACAGCTCCAGAGGATTCTGACATGGCTTCTTGTAGTTAGCAACAAGATCATGCGGTAAACATGATAAGGCAGCACTCACGACTCGGAGCGGCTCTAGGAAATTGTAGTCAACCATCAGACGAAGCCAAGAAAGCAGAAGCTCCGCACCAGGAATTTCTCTAGACGCCTGGAGTTGCAGGAACAACATCTGTGTAATATGTACTACCTCCTCAACAAGGATAGTGGCCCATAATTCTTCGATTTCTTGGCTACTCTCGGTGGCGCCTAGCCAGCCACCACCGCTGTCCAACGAAGACAGCCGACTCCGCACAGCTTCGACGCAGCTCTTGTTGAACGTGCGCCAGCCTTCACCCTTGGACTTTCCATTGAATACTGTGTCACCTAGCTTGGACAGCTGCTGAGAGGGAAGGTCCGAAGAACGCTGGGAAGCCGGCTCTTGGTTATCTCTGAGATACAACGCAAGCAGCTTGCATGCCACTTTGACGACATGGCTTCTCTCCGATAGATATAAGCTGCGCAGCCGCAGGCGGCGGCTAGTTTCAGAAGAAAAATCGGAAGCCTCGTCAACATGGGCTGCTTTCTGATTGAAAATTTCGGCCAGGGCAGGTCCTGCGAGAGACACACGAAGATTGTCACCTCCCGCCGCGCTTTGCAAGCTAGTTGTTTCCTCGTCGGCAAAACGGTTGAGAAGGCGCGTGGCAGGTCGGGTTTGCCATTCTAATACTGTTAATCGGAGCGCGCTGATTTCATCAATACCCGCCTTCTCGCTCAACCACAGAGCATCTGCTTTGATCTCCTTCAAATCATACGAAGATTGCGCATTTGTCTCAACATTGATTGCGGCTGTCTTAGATTCAAAGTCGGATTTTGATTTGGTGGAAGGAGAAGGAAAACCGGTGAGGCAATTCGAGAGGATTTGGACGCTGTCGGGATGCGATAGGAAGGCATGGAGTCTTTCCACATCTTCGACGTTGCTATCGATCTTGCATATGTGAAGGAAGGCTCTCTTCCAGGACCTAAGATCGCATAGATAATCAGTGAATGCTCGTCAATTGGGAACAGACGAATGTAAAGCCCATACAGAAGCTGGACGTCCCCGGAGAAGCACTTGTCCAGGGACGGGAAATAGGCTTCCGGGACGGGAGCCATTGGCGAGACAATTATATCATTCTAGATGCTCGATGGGATGCGAAAAGGATGTGCTGCTCGCGAGGGTCCAAAGCGACAGAGACCCGGAGCAAAAGGGCAGGCAAGTTGAGAGTGTTAAGCAGAGAGCTCACAAGCTCAAAGGCGGGAACCCAAGAATATTATTCCAGGAGCGGGTTTGGCTGGAGGTCAACAATGACTGCCTATCTGGGTTTAGCCCAAGGCGGTGAGCTGAAGTTTTGCGCCGTTTGCTTACCAACCCCAATCCGGAAGGCGACACGATCCACCGAGGATCTGAGTCAGGCCGCAGCCACCGTCGATGTTTGCTCCGCCCTCACTTTACTCCGGCAGTTGACAGTTCAACTTCAAAAAGGTGAGTGTGTCTCTATGCGCCTTGCCCTGGCTGCTTTTTCCTTATCGCATTGCTCTTCGATTTCATCTAATTGAAGATCCTGTCCTGCGCAGATTTTCGTCATGGCGGACTCCGGACTCGTCGATCATTCCCCCCACCATCCCACCAAGGCCGCCCAACTGAGCACCGCATCGAATGTTATCTTGATTGATAACTACGACTCGTTTACTTGGAACGTCTACCAGTACTTAGTTCTCGAGGGTGCTACAGTCAATGTGTTTCGTAATGACCAGATCACTTTGGAGGAACTGATCGCCAAAAAGCCCACACAGCTGGTCATCAGTCCCGGTCCCGGTCACCCCGAGACTGACGCTGGTATCAGCAGTGCAGCCATTCAATATTTCAGCGGCAAGATTCCCATCTTCGGTGTATGCATGGGTCAGCAATGTATTATTACTTGCTTTGGTGGAAAAGTTGATGTCACCGGCGAGATTCTTCATGGCAAGACATCCCCGCTTAAACATGACGGCAAGGGCGCCTATGAAGGACTACCTGGCTCGCTCGCCGTCACTCGCTATCACTCTCTAGCTGGTACACATGCGACAATCCCCGACTGTCTGGAGGTGTCCTCTTCCGTTCAGTTGGCGGACGACAGTAACAAAGATGTCATAATGGGCGTGAGACACAAGAAGTTGGCCGTGGAGGGGGTTCAGTTCCACCCCGAAAGTATCCTCACTGAGTACGGCCGTATCATGTTCCGCAACTTCCTCAAACTTACTGCAGGCACCTGGGAAGGAAACGGGAAACATTTTGGTGAGCAGAGCAGCACTACCAAGGCCACCGTTCCCTCAAACCCTCCCCCGAAAACGGACAAGAAGTTGTCCATCCTCGAAAGGATCTACGACCATCGGAGAGCCGCTGTCGCCGTGCAAAAGACTATTCCCTCGCAACGGCCAGCCGACCTCCAGGCTGCCTATGACCTTAATCTGGCCCCTCCCCAGATCCCATTTCCGGCTCGTCTTAGACAATCGCCCTACCCACTGTCCCTTATGGCAGAGATCAAGCGTGCTTCTCCCTCTAAGGGTATGATAGCCGAAAATGCATGCGCGCCTGCTCAGGCCAGGCAATACGCGAAGGCCGGTGCCAGTGTCATCTCTGTGCTCACAGAGCCTGAATGGTTCAAAGGCAGCATTGACGACTTGCGTGCCGTTCGCCAAAGTCTGGAGGGCATGACGAACAGGCCTGCCATTCTGCGGAAGGAATTCGTTTTTGACGAATACCAGATCCTAGAGGCCCGTTTGGCCGGTGCCGACACCGTTTTGCTCATTGTGAAGATGCTTAGTGTTGAACTCCTCACTCGGTTGTATCACTACTCCCGTAGCCTTGGCATGGAGCCTTTGGTTGAAGTGAACACACCCGAAGAGATGAAGATTGCGGTCGACCTTGGAGCCGAGGTTATTGGTGTCAACAACAGGGACCTCACAAGCTTCGAGGTTGATCTCGGCACTACTAGCCGGCTCATGGATCAGGTGCCCAGCAGCACCATCGTGTGTGCTCTCAGTGGGATCTCCGGGCCGAAGGATGTGGAGGCTTACAAGAAGGAGGGTGTCAAAGCTATTCTAGTAGGAGAAGCCCTGATGCGGGCAGCAGACACGGCTGCTTTCATTGCTGAGCTTCTTGGAGGCAGCTCACAAACCGTTTCCAGCGAGTCCCGGAGATCGCCGTTGGTAAAGATCTGCGGTACTCGATCTGAAGAAGCTGCACGAGCAGCGATCGAGGCTGGAGCAGACCTAATTGGAATCATCATGGTGCAAGGGCGAACGCGATGCGTCCCCGATGACGTGGCGCTCCGCATATCCCAAGTGGTCAGGTCCACCCCGAAACCTGCTAGTCAAGCTCTTCACACATCTCAAGAACCTCCCGCTGCGACATCTGTGGAGTACTTTGATCACTCAGCCAAAATTTTGCGTCATCCTAGCCGGGCGCTTCTCGTGGGCGTCTTTCAGAACCAGCCCCTTGATTATATATTGAGTCAGCAACAAAAATTGGGACTTGATGTCGTGCAACTTCACGGATCTGAGCCGCTTGAATGGGCCAAGTTGATCCCAGTGCCTGTCATCCGCAAGTTTGGACTTGACGAGCCTGCGATCGCCCGCAGGGCTTACCACTCCCTACCGTTACTGGATTCTGGCGTTGGGGGAACTGGTGAGTTGCTGGACCAGTCCCGCGTTCAGAATGTCCTCGATAAGGACTGTGGTTTGCGCGTTATTTTGGCGGGTGGTTTAGATCCTACCAATGTTGCTGGCATTGTCCAGAAGCTTGGCGAATCTGGCCGCAAGGTCGTTGGCGTAGATGTCAGTTCTGGCGTAGAGTCAGACGGCGCTCAGGATCTTAACAAAATTCGCGCATTTGTGCAGGCCGTGAGGGGACTCTAGCTTGGGATCGTCTCTATATATCCCCAATCATGGGATTACCAGGCATCATTGGTCTTTTCATTTGATTTTCTTTGAGTTTTATTACCTTTCACTTTGTTGATACCTTTCGGATCTACCATAGCCATGATGCCAAGCAATGACACGGCCACTTCAGATATCCTACACTCTTGCCAGCTTACAGTAGCCTCACTATTCAGTGACAAGATAAACCTCATTTTTCTCTTCTTAGTGTTCGTTCATTCGGCCATGATCGAATAGTATCGTAATAGTAGTACTACTTATCATATTCTTCCCCGAGCTTTCTACTTACTATATACCTTTAAGATCCCTTATATTCACTCAACGCACCCTTGATACAGTCAGCTGAAGAGACTCTGCCTCAGCGGTTACATCAGACTCCACCGGAATACCACCTCTCCATATTCCCTTCAGAATGGGCAAGACCTTCAAAAACATACATGCCGCCTCATTTGGCAAATTCGATGGAAATTCGGACAAAATACCCCAGTGGATACGGGCCAACGGAGGCCAATATTCCAAGGATATCAGCACAGACATCACTCATTTAATCACCACCAAAGAAGCGTTCAAGGATAATGTTGAAGCAGGTAGGTACTTTCAACTTATTGGATTCAAGTCATGCATGTATTTCTGACAGCGAAACCGAATGATAGTTCGGGAAGCTAAACGACTACGAACTATAAAAATAGTCTCCTATGACTGGCTGGAAGACTCTCTTTTATCTAAGAATCGGAGACCGAAGCCTGAGACGGAGTATCTTCTTGCGAATATACTCAAAAGCGAGAAAAAGAAGAGAGGAAACGAGAAAGAGAAAATAAGGAAGAGGGAGAAAGAAAGGCCTAGGAGAAAAGGTACGTTTGCTCTTTAGCTCTTGGGGCAAGTTGTTGATTGTTGGGGTGGAGTCCAACCGACGAGGTGAAGTCGAACGGACTTGACTAGATGATATAAGTTTTTGGTGACTGATATGATGCTACTAGGTAATCTGAAGAATCAGGATCCTTTTGGTAGGAAGAGAAAGGGCGTGAAGGCCGGGACTGCGGTTTGTATGTTATCGTCTATCTTGCTCCTGCGTATTACGAAGGCTGATTCAGGCTGGTGATGTAGCGAGGTATCACATCTATACGGATGAAGAAGCGAGGGTGACGTACAATGCTACGCTTGTCCGGTTGATGCAGGGCAAAAGCTGTAAGGAGAGACATGTGGTCAGGGTGAGTTAGTCATAATGCTGTGGAGTCGCGATCGTTTATATCTCTCCAGGCAGATGAGGTATATGTATCAGGAGAAGGGCTGATTGAGAAACTGTATGTAGGTATACGAGTCTAATAAAGAACCTCATGTCTACGCTACACATCTCGAGTACAGCCGTATTGGCAAGCAGCAGAGCCAACTCCTGACACCGCTGAAAGCAGATCGTGACTTCGCGGTGACGGCGTTCAAGGAGACTTTCAAGAACAAAACAGGTAAGGAGTGGGAAGAGCGGCTGGATGATGTCTTACCAGAGGGTAAGAGAGATACTGTTGGCAAGTTACTGCCTCCTCACCAGCATTGGTTCTACTACGAGGATCGGGCTGGACTGTTGTCAAATTTCCTTCGGGGAGTTGATGCACCCGACGGCGATGACATGGTGACTGTTAAGCAAGATTATCAAGATGCATCATTGCAGGGCATTGAGCACAAGTCGGCACAGGATGGGAATGGCGAGAGGCCGGGCAGTGACGAGCCGATAATCGTATACGATTTGACTGGTCCGGACATAGAGATTCTGAGCTGTCCGCGAGATAAATATATCCGGTCGGCTAGCCCTAATCGATACTGAGGCTGAACCTTCAATTTATTCGGCCGTATACTAGATTTTCAATCTGTTACCTCTGTTACCACTGCGATCATACTTCAACGGCTACATGATTTCTAGGTAGAAAGGAGAGAAGTAATGGAAAAATTTCTTTCAGATGGGTATACAATAGCGATCAGATATGCCAAATGTAAATGCCGCCCCTTTGAGCTCCTTCCTGAACACCTCATGCGCCGAATCAAGACTTTTCTTTTTGCCTTCGTAAATGATTATACACAGCCAACTGAAAGCCACAGGTGTCCTCAAGACTAAAACTGGCTCACAGATAATCCTTCTTCTTGCTCGTCCTGGTGTACTGGGTAAGAGCCCATTCAACATCACCACTAGAACCTTTCTCCAAGGTTCCACCGCGGATCTCGAACAGTCGCATGGTCATACGAGGACCAACTTCCGCCAGCTCAACATCCCGATATCCGGTCTTGACGAACACGTGATGACGGACCTCAATGTTGTCTTCCTTGTTCACGAAGCTGACGACACGGTTTCCAACCTTGCCGGTCTCACGCGGGGGGAACAGATGCTTCAGAATCTGAACCACACGAAGACCCAACTTGGTCTTGAAACCTTCGAAGATGAGGTGAGGGTAGCTCTCCGACACAGTTCCGCGAGCAGCATTGGGGATATCCGCACGGAGAACAACGTTATGCAGGGAGAAGCTAGCGGTCGGCCCATGGGGAAGGTGGGAGATCGTCATCGCAGTGGGCGTACCACGGTGTTCGTGCACGAGAATCATGTCGGTCAGCGCGGCGGCGGTTGCGCTTGAAACCAAGTCCGGAAGAACGAGGTTACCACGGTTCAAGCGAATGGAGGTTGGAAGAAGCAGACGGACCTCCTTAGCGAATGTGCCCAGACGGACAGAAGGGGAGCGAGAGGTTGTCACGATAGGACGGGGGTCGGCGATGCCGGAGGTGAGGGCATATTCATCATCGAGATCGACGTCGCCATCCTTGTTCTGGTTATCCGGGGTGATGGATTCATCGTACTTGAAATCTTCGCGCAGCGATTTGTCTTCAGCGATGGAGGGGTCGAGGGGTTTTCCGGAGGCCAGCGACGCCTTCAGCTGGGCTCGCTTTTCAGCAATGGAGGCATCGCGGAGAGTGAGAGCTCTCCGGTACAGATAATCGCGACGCTCACGGGCTTGACGACGCTGAAGAATCAGTAGTTAGCGATAAGAGGTCTGGAACCACGGAGGATAGCTATTTTTAAAATTCCAAGCAGCGACATACCAACATCGTGTGTGTATATAATGAAGAATGATTGAGTAGATCAGAATGGGGTCTGGAACGCAAAAGGCGGGCAACTTTTTTTCTTGCGGCAACTGCCGGTCTGGTCCGCCTTGGCCACCGGAGTTGTGTGGGATTTGGCGGCAACGACTCCGAATGCCTTGGCCTGAGCCGATCGCAAATCATCCACCATCCGGTCCTGTGGATTGTCCATCATTCCCTGCCTTTCCAGGACACGCCCCAATTCACTTGCGTCAAGCTCTTCAGTGGCGGCAGGGCTCTGTGACTTGAATGTAAGGCATCTTTTTCACCAGTTGGCTCTATGAATTCCCACGGACAAAAGTGAACCTGACTGGATTCCAGTTCTAATCTCATATACAGTTGCCCCTCTGCTGTGGCACACTGGTGACCTCCGATAAAGAAAACACAACATCTCCTGCCTCTGTCCTCGGACAGTCACGGCTGTTTCGTCCTCCACGCTCTTTACATCTTTCAAATCGCCTCGCGTGACATTTCAGACTCGTGTATGACCGCATAATCTTCGGTGTCCTGGGCGTCTTTCGCTTTCGCTTCCGCAGATTTCGCTCTTTCTGTCTTGATCTGGGTAGCGATATTGGGGTTTAAGCATCGGATTTTCTTTTTCTTTCTCCTACATCATTATGGCTGCACTTGGCGATGACAGAATTCCGCCGGAGATGGACGACGCAGCTTCCCAGTTCCGCCCGCGGAGACATGACGATGACGATGAGGCTTCCGGAGACGACGATGTAGAGAGCACAACTAGTGCTCAGGCAGCCGACAACAAGCATCATCAGGGTCACTTTGAGGAGGAGAAGGAACTCCCGCCACATGCTTGCGCGTGAGTTTATCGTAGCGTTTGCTCTGTTATATCTTCACTGACTTGGAGCTCCTCTACAGGTATTGCGGCATTCATAACCCGAGCAGCGTAGTCAAGTGCCTGGCCTGCAGCAAGTGGTTTTGCAGCGCCCGTGGTAACACTTCGTCCTCCCATATTGTCAATCACCTCGTTCGGGCACGCCACAAGGAAGTTCAGTTGCATCCGGCCTCGTCGCTTGGAGATACGATATTGGAATGCTACAATTGCGGAACTAAGAACGTTTTCCTTCTTGGATTCATCCCAGCCAAGTCTGACACGGTTGTCGTGTTGCTATGCCGTCAGCCATGCGCCGCTATGCCATCTTCCAAAGATATGAACTGGGACACTTCGCGCTGGCAACCATTGATTGAAGACCGTTCCTTCTTGCCATGGCTGGTTGCTGCCCCGTCCGACCAGGAGCAGCTCCGCGCTCGCCACCTGAGTCCGCAGTTGATTGCTAAGCTGGAAGAGATGTGGAAGGAAAATTCTCAAGCGACTTTCTCGGATTTGGAGAAGGCCACGGCTGTGGACGATGAGCCAGCACCCGTGCTTCTGCGTTATGATGATGCCTTCCAGTATCAGAACATCTTTGGGCCTCTGGTCAAGATTGAGGCCGACTATGACCGCAAATTAAAGGAATCTCAGTCGCAGGATGGACTGATCGTACGCTGGGACCTTGGTCTTAACAACAAGCATCTGGCTAGCTTCATTTTGCCTAAGCTTGAACTTGGCGATGTTAAACTGGCTGTGGGAGATGAAATGCGCCTCAAGTATACCGGTGAACTGCGGCCCAAGTGGGAAGGAGTTGGATATGTCATCAAGATTCCGAACAATCAGTCTGATGAGGTGACGATCGAGTTGCGAGCAAAGGGTGATCATAAGTCTGTGCCTACGGAGTGCACGCACAATTTCACGGCCGACTACGTCTGGAAGTCTACATCTTTCGATCGTATGCAGCTGGCCATGAAGACATTTGCCGTGGATGAGATGAGTGTCTCCGGTTACATCTTCCATCGCCTTCTCGGAC